ATTAATAAAATACTAACTTAAAATCTTATCTAATTATATATAATATTCTCATATCAAATTTAAAACCAGATATTAGTTATACAAAAATATTAAGATCATATAGTAAATTGTCAATAAGATTTTAGTTAAATAATTTAAAATAATTAATGTTTCAATTATATTGTTAATTAGCAAATAATTTATTACAAAGCTAATTAATTTTTTATATATTAATTATTAGTAAAATTTAATAACTTTTAATTTAACAATTAATTGGATCGATGAAATTCACACACCATGAGTTATTGAGCGGAATAACTTTACCAAGAGTTATTTTGTAAGTTATCTTAAATCAAACATATAAAATTCAAAAAATGTATTTATCCTTGTTTTATTTTCTAATTATCAACCATTAATAAAATACTAACTTAAAATTTTATCTAATTATATCATAATATTTTCATATCAAATTTAAAATCAGTTCTTACATTTTCGATAAATATAAATTTGTCGGAAATATTCCATCAATAATATAGTTTTTCCTACAAAATTGTTTTCATCGAAAATATAAATTTTTTGATAGATTTAATTTTATTTTATAAGAAATTATCTTCGATTAATATAACATTTAAGAGTAAATAATTTTCAATTTAACGGTTGGATTTACAAAATTCACATTTAATATAAAGTTATTGAGCGGTGTAATACTTAGTAAAATTTACACCGGTGTAATTATACTTAGTAAAATATATATATATGTATATATGTATGTATGTATATATGTATATATATATATATATATATATATATATATATATATAGTATACTTATTGTAGTATATGTTCCCTGTGAGATGTTTTCCTTTACGTAGTTTTTTTTAACCTAGCCTCAACACAAGTGCACCACGTACTATGGAACCCCCTACCATACAACACCTACATCTCCCCGATGATGACGACGAAGATCTCATCCTACCGAACGAACCAACCAGCACGCAAATAGAAAACCTATCACTATGTCTTCTTGGAAGATTTCTTACCGACAGAAACATTTGAGTAAATATTATGAAGGAACGCATGGCTGAAGTATGGCATCCCCGACGAGGTGTATCCATTAAAGAGGTTGAAAAAGGCCTTTTCTTGTTCCAGTTTTTTCACCGGCTTGATATGTAGCGAATATTAAAAGGAGGACCATGGTCTTTCGATCGCCATCTTCTCATTCTCAGAGTCCTTCAACCTGGCGAGACTCCCAGTCAAATTCCCCTCTACACAGTCCCTTTCTGGTTACAACTACATAATTTGCCAACAGATTTTATGACGCCTATGGTGGGACAAAAACTGGGCGACTACATAGGGTCTTTCCAGGAATACGATGAAAAGAACTCCTCAAATGGGTCTTTCCTGGAATACGATGAAAAGAACTCCTCAAAGGAGGCGATTCACAAGATATTCTTTTTAAATATGAAAGGCTTGGCCCATTCTGCTTTTACTGCGGTCTCATGGGACACCTGGATGATGATTGTGAACAATTATTCATCACACTGCATGATGACGACCATCGCAAATGGGGCATAGAGATTAGGGCTGACCCACGGAGCAACCCTACATCGTCACAATGGCTACATCCGAAAAACATGCATGGAGATTCAACACATCCATATAATCAGGGATCTAGCGTGATACGTGGAAACTGTAATTCGAGTAACCAAATCAAGAATATCCACTCGTCGAGCACCAAGGAATCTCATCAAAGGACAGAATTAATGTCCCAAATCTTTAAAAATCCAAAGTGTTTGTTTCCTTCCTCATCGTTGCCACTTCAGGCTGATGCAATCTCTGGATCAGCTACCATGGAGGAAGACTCGAATGATCATACACTTATTGTAGGCGATAGAAAACGTCGTCACAACGATGAACGTCAAACTAACCTTACAATGCATAACCTAGGCAAAGAGGATCACATACATATTGAAGAAGAATATCCAGATTTCTCCAACCATTTTTTAATGCCCTGAAAATCAGGCCTGCCAGGGTCAATGAGTGTTATCAGCTGGAACTTCCGGGGATTAGGCAACCCGAGTGCAGTTCCCACCTTGCTAGATCTCATCCGTACGTACCACCTGGACGTGCTCTTTTTGTCTGAAACACCGGTACACTCAAAACGCATTGATAAGATACGTGCTCGACTAAATTTTGAATCATCTTTTGCTGTTAATAGTATTGAAAGGAGTGGAGATCTTGCTATCTTCTGAAAGAAACCATATTAATGCACACTTATCAATTACTCTCAAAATTTTATAAATATGGTTGTCTCAATGGCCCATACACCTGCATGGAGCTTTACAGGATTTTACGGGTGCCCAGAGAGAACAAATCAAAAAACTTCTTGGAATCTTCTACGTCACCTTACCCTTGACACCTCACTTCCATGGTGTGTCATGGGAGATTTCAATGACCTATTATCCCCAAATGATAAAAGAGGCACTCATGACCACCTATCCTGGCTTATTAGAGGATTCAGAACCGCTGTTACGAATGCTGCACTCCTTGACCTACCTTTGGAAGGCTATTGTTACACATGGGTAAAGAGCAAGGGCACGCCAAACCAAATAGAAGAACGTTTGGATAGAGCATTGGTTACGCAGAACTGGTTAGACCTTTTTCCTCAATGTAGGCTCCAAAATGCTATAGCAGCGAGGTCGAACCACTCACCTACACATCTCAAATTAACCTAGCACCAAAACTCAAAACCACAACGTCCATTCAGATTTG